GATGGATGGATGGATGGATGGATGGATGGATGGATGGATGGATGGATGGACGGACGCACAATGAGTACTGACTGATAAGCATTTTTCCACCAACTTCCTTCTCATGCTCCAGAGTCCCAGGGACCCAAGAATATTCTTTAGACTTATATCCTTAACTTTCATCCCAAGTAGATAAGTAAGCATACATCTTTTCTAGGAGGAAGGTAAAGGGCCCAATATTGTATCTAGTATAGGTTTAATATAAAAGTCTGACCCTAGATCTGGCCACAGAGGAACTGTAGATATTTGACATCATTGTTGAGACAAACAAGGGAGAGAAGAATGCAGACCAGAGCAGACTGACTCACACCCATGACTCTTAGACTGGCTGAGTATAGCTTGCAGGCATCTATCTTCAGTCATCCTTTACAAACCTCTGTAGTAGGAATGTGGGGCTGTGTCACTGTAGTTAATCATAGTTGTGAAGGCTCAATTATAATGATATTTGGGGGTTCCAAACTGAGCTTCCACACCAGCCCTTGGCCACCTCTTACTCATACACCAAGCTCTGAGAAGACTAAGGTTGGTTTTAGAAAACTGTCCTTATCTGTCCTGGCCCATAGTCTTCCTCATTGCTAATCGGTATAAAGTCTGTTCGTCACTACATTGGCCCAGGTAAACACAGCGACTAAGACAAAATGTGGCTTCTCTTTTAATATCATCCCTGGTAAGTATAGGCTCTGAGTTTTGTGTCTGACATTCCCAAGCCTTCTAAGCTGCTTTCTCTATTGTAGAGATAGACGTAGAAGATCCATGATTGCATCAAGTTCTTAAAGTCAGTGGTGTGACTAGGAAGTCTGAAATACTATGATTATAGCCAAAAGAGACCACAGTATATCAAGCCACAGGGTAACGATAGCCCTGCAGAAGATATCCACTTACTACTGCATGCCTGTCTCATGCCAGATAGACTTCTTGCCCTGATAATACCTCATCCATGCCAACTCCAGGAGACAGACATTGTCAGTATTTTAGGCAGGGGGAACCTGAAGTAGCAAGAAGCTCGATTACTTGGCCAGGATAGGACTCAAAGCACCGTTGCCAGGATTCAAATCTAATCTTCTTAAAAAGATTCATGGTATGCTGCCAACTTTGAGCCTTTTTCCCTTTTGAAGAGATGGTGTATGAGCTGGGAGCTAACAGTCCAGCCCAGGAGGTCAGAAGCCAGGTCCTGAGGAGCACAAGACTGGGTAGGAGTCAATGAAATTGGAAAACTCCAAGTAATCCATCAGATTTCTGTCTTACCTGGCCAGATGCTGGCTATGGAGAAGGTTTCTACTTACTCTATGGGTTCAGGATCAGGCCATTCCAGAAGTAGAGGGGTCCTGGTTGGTCTTTCCTCTCATTGACTTTGTATCCCTTGTCTTCTGTGGCCTGTACTGTAGAAGGGGTAGACACATAAATCTTTTGAGACTGCCCCACTCTATACCTGGCTCTGATAGAAGCACACTATGCAATTGTGTAAAAAGTAGGCCCAGCCTCTATGCTCTAACTGATACTCTGTTGGCTTTCCAGAAATTCTTAAATGCTCTGAGTCAGACACAGTAACCTGTCAGTTCCTCTCTCTGCTTCCTGTGATGGATCTAACAGTTGCTTAGCCTCCCTGATCTGACCATCAGCCATGCTCACAAAGAAGGAATTTGACCTGACATCAAAGACACCCTATATCTCTACCTGCCTCTTTTTCAGGAAGTCTGTCATCCAGCTTGACCTTGCCAGTACCAAGAAAGCGATGATTGTCCCTGCATTCGAGACACTGCGCTACCGACTCTCTTTCCCTAAGTCAAAAGCAGAGCTGCTGTCAATGTTGGACATGGGGACCCTATTCACATTCAGGTGAGTGACCCTCACAGCAGTCATCTCAGGTACCCAAAGAGCCTCTCTCCTAGGACACCCAGATGTCAAAACTGTTGGCAGAGAAGGGAATTAGTCCCTTATATAGCCCAAGAAAGAAACTCACCCCAGTGTCCTTCAGACTCTCTGTCCCCCCTTCCTGCATGTGACTTGCTTTGCTTTATACATGGATGGTAGCCACTGTATCCGATGTAAAGAGAGGCTTGCTGGGGCGAGAAGCCACACATTTCTGTACTTTAAAAGAAGTGACAAACTCCATTTAGGGCTCTGTCACTATCCCTTGACTCAGAATTATATCTTTGGTATATACATGGCAGTGTTCTCTAGAGAAACAGAATTTAAAATGAATTTATTAGGTTATCTTTTGCATTGATAGCATGAATATATATTTAAAATGAATTTGTTAGGTTACCTTTTGCAATACAATCAAATTGGGCCAATAATGGCTGTCTCTGTTGGAGAAGCCAAGACTTTGGTAGTTGCCCAGTCCAGGAGTCTGAATATCACAGCAATACCAGTCTGGTGCCAAGGACCTGGTTAGGTTCTTGCTTTTCAGTACACATTGGAAGCCTGAAAAGTCTGTTTCTAATATCACAGAAAGAGCTGGTGATGGCAGCAGCAATAAGCTCGATAAATTTTTCAGCAAGAATGAAAGCCCAGTGAGCACTAAGGTTTACTTCTTCTAAGTCTGGCCACTGCCAGAAGGTGTCATCCAGATTTAGGGTAGGTTTTCCCTATCAATGAAGTCATTTAAGCCAAGCCACACACAGACATTCCCACAAGCTAACAAAGTATATAAAATCTCTCATTGAGACCTTGTATCAAGTTGAAAAATAAAACCATTACAGTATTCATTAATCCTTAAGGTGAGTGGGGTTTACTCTGAGATACCTGATGGGGTTTCTTTTTGTTATTTCCGTGTGTAAGTAGTCTAATCTCTAAGATCTCAGAGTATGGAACAGGTATCTGAAATCAATCTGCAACTTAAAGTCATCAAGCGGACTCCAAAGTTGTACCCAACTGGTATAAGAGCCCACTTATATATTGCCCAGTGATAGCTACAAGCAAAACCATTGGTTTTCTCATTCTGAGATGCTGATGCCTTCAGCACTCATCTGCACAAGAATTAATGGGCTCCATCTCCTGGTGCCGGGCTCTACTTTAAGTATAGCAGTCAGGACTAGGGGAGTGGGAATCCTGCTGCTCTCTTTCAGATGGAACAGTATGAAAACAACCATTTCATCTGCCTGTTTCTGCTAAGGTTTCACACTACAGCCTTCACACTGTAGGAATGGCCCCTGCTTCCTTTGAGTGGAAAAAAAACAAAACAAAACAAAACAAAAACAAACAAACATGCAGCTTGAGCAGCCTGAATTGTTCCCAAGGATTTTAAGCATAACAACTGGGTTGTCGTGATACTACAAAGCCTCTGAAAGGCTGTCTCAGACTGTTTGTCCGTGAGGATATTTATCCCATGGCGCCAAGTTAATGCATCTTTTTATTTCTGGGGGGTAGAAAGTTCCAGGACTCAATCACCAGCCTTCATCTTCTCTTCAGGGATCTAGAAAGGAACCTAGAAGAATTCATCTCTACCTACGCCAAGCTATCCTTTTCTACTTCCCACAAATTACATGCTTCACTTGGACCAGGAATTGGGATGAACATAATCCTTACAGCAAACATAAAGTGGATACTAATTCTTATTTTGCAGTGAAGACACTGATACTCAACAATCAAATAATCTGCTCAATGACACGTGGCTGATAAGTGGCAGAACCAGGATTTGGTCTGAGAAACCACTAGGCCTGTGCTCTTAACTGAAATAGCACTGGGCTACTGACAAGCCCTTCATTTTCATACCAGTTCTTACTTGAAAACACAAGATCACAAATTGGTTCTGGAAATTGAGACTGAGACCAAATCTTTATCTGAGTCTCTCACAGTTACTCCATCTCTATGTCTGAATACCTGACAAACTTTTACGGTATTCATCCTGCCATCTTCTACTGCAGGTGATGTGAGAACTCATTTCAAGGCCATAGCTGTGATCATGAGAGGTAGGGCCTAGCCTACTGTGTCCATGATTACTGCTCTGGCCAACAGGTTGCAAGCCACCATGCCAATTGCTAAATTACAGCCTTCCCCTCCAAGAAATTGCTTTCGTCACCTGCTCTCCAAACAAATCCCTAGTCCTCATCACTGGCATGAGAAGCTTCTACACCCCTCTGCAGCCTACAGAAACATAGTGCTCAGAGTATGTATGGCCCCTAGACCAATAGCATCACATTGCCTGGGACCTTGTTATGAATTCAGTCTCAAACCTCATCCCGGACCATAAACCTTCATGTTAAAACTAGTCCTTTACATAGCCCTGACATACCTAAAGCGTGAGAGCAGTGAGATCAGCTCTTTCTTCCACATAACATCATGTCAGGTGTACTAGGGAGCCCCTCCCATCATCTGCTCTTGCGGTTGCCTGGTTCAGCAGTACCAACAGTGAGCAGGAGGTTTCCCGACAGTCTCTGGGCTGTGTTGTGAGCCTGTATCTTGGGTTTCTTGTAACTTCACTGCGTTCTCTTCTGCTCAGCCACTTGTCACGCTGTCAGCAGGCTAGACTGAGTGAATAGAAACTACTTCTCTAGCCGGATAAGCAGCTTGGCCCAGTTCTCCCTGGCCTCCATTTCTTTTTTATTTTTCTTCTTTTTCCTATCATATAGTAGGTCAAAGTTCAGGTTCTAAGGATGGAGAAAAAAAAAATTGGTCACAAATCTGTTGATACTCCTGAAAGCAAAATCATTGAGAACTGACATCATATTTAGGAGTCAAATGGAGAAATAATGAAAGCATGCTTACTTTTTGAAGGATTAACTATTATGTATCAGACACGTCCATAGTATTTTATGAGAAATCACTTCATATTAAAAGTTGGTATTATTATCTTTGCTTTACCAGGAGAAAAAACCAAGATATGGAACCTGCCCACCCCTGCTGAATGAAAGGATGCAAGCCCAGGCAGGCAGGCTGCCATCAAGAGCCCTTATTTTTAACCACTTTGTTTAACTGCCTGGTAGGGAACAAGCATTTGTAGAGTGCCTTCTGCACGCTCAGCCCTATGCCAGTGTTTCTAGCACTGTCTTGTTTAAGTTCCTGCACAGTTTATCATGATAGGTATGATTTTTCCCAGATCACAGGAGAGGAAATTAAAGCCCTATTAAAGTACTTCCTTGTTCAGGGTCTGCTGTTCCTAAATGGTAGAAGTGAGATTTGAACCCTAGTCCAATGGTCCTACTTTGCTCTGCTTGGAACCTAATATGAATTCCCAGTCATCACTTATGGTATGCCTGTTCTGTCAAAGGCACCAAGTCTGAAATATCCTTTCCATGCTCTATTAAAGTAGCAGTCTTCTCCTCACCCTCCTTTCTTTTAAGTAACTGGCTTTGGTAGACGTTTCTGCATTGATGGAACTGAAGCTCAAGTCCCTGCCTCTCCCCAGCTTTCCCGTCCTACCCAGCAATACATTGAGTCTACTGGATGGTCTGGCAGAAGTCCAGACTCTTTGATGAAATGGAGTTTTAAAGAGTTTCAGCCTTGCCACTAGAATGCCACCTGCCATGGGGCACTCACTCTCACTGCCTTGCTTGCTTTACAGAGCTGTCCCTAAAAAGATTAGAAAAACCCCTTATCTGTATTTCTTTCTCCTGCAGCTAAACTATTAGATCCTAACACTTCCTTTTTGTTTCAGGAAGCGTTTCTGTACTTCTAGGTACTATCTTTCCTAACCCCTTTCTGTTGTCTCCAACTGTAGCTTTATTTTATTCCTTGCATCCACCTTCCACATAACTTTCAGTGACAAAGTCCCACCCTCCTCACTAGTCTCTCTCACTGTCACCTCTCAAGTTTTAGATTATTCATCCACTCATTTTTTCCAATGTACTCCCTCACATTGGATACACCAATGACAACAGAGCATCAACCTAGTGCTAAGGTGGGAGAAAACCTTGGATCTTAGAACTGAAAGGAAATCCTTTGAGATGAGGTGGGAAAGAGGGACCTGAAAAGCTGTGTAGTACATTCAAAGACAAAGAATGAGAACAGAGCCCTAGTCTGTAGGGCATTCCACCTCAGCCCCTTGCTCTTCCTACCTTTCTATATATGATGAGGACAGAAGCACACAGCTGGCCCTTGAGCCAGCTACCTGAGTTTCATTACTGTTTGCACAATACTGTGCAGGAGTTCAGACTCACAGCCTGACTGTCTGTCTTCTTGCATGGAGTAGCCAGGTCTCTGACCAGGGTTCCTCTGGGTGGAAAGCAGGTATCAGAAGAAATACAGACCTCCTCCAGTACCACACAATTCTCTTCCTTTTGGCTGGAAGAGACGGTCTTCATTCTACTAGCTTTTAGACTTGTACCCCGATTGGTTCCCGGGTCCTCCCTCTTTTCACCCTGACTTTATAAACAGCTCACAACATGACTCTTTCCTTCCTTCCAGATCTGAAGGATCATAAGTCAGGTCAGATCTACCCTAGTAATCTCAATTTTTATTATCACAGCAGCATTTGCTTAATAACCTCCATATCTATAAATATCTATAAAAAGTCCACTCTTGCCATATAATATGATATAACCAGAAGGGCATCTTACTCACAGGTTCTGCCCCATCACTGAGTATCAAGCAGGATTACCAATGCTCCCTGATAGGCATGACCAGATATAAATTTCATGGAAATGAAGTCAAGCGCTCAAAAGTTCACTGGAGTCTTCTCATTAGTGACAGGTAACTAACTCTGAGAAACTGCATAAGTTTCTTGGGGCTGCTGTAACAAAATACTACAAAATAGGTAGCTTAACCCAACAGTTATTATTTAACACTTTTGCAAGTCAGAAGTCCAAGCTAAAAGTTCTAATAGGTCCATGGTCCATGGTTTTCCAGAGGTTCTAGGCAAGATGCCTTCCATGTTCCTTTCTTTTTGTTTGTTTGTTTTTCCTGGTAATTGCCAGCAATCCTTAATACTTCTTGTTTCTTGATGGCCTGTCATTCTAAGCTCTCTCTGCATCTGCACATGGTAGTCTCACTGTGCATCTGTGTGTTCAAATTTCCCTCTCATCAAAGGACTAAGTCCCACCCTAATTTTACCTTGAGTATATCTGTAAAGATCCTGCTTCTTACTAGGTCACATTTACAGGCACTGAAGGTTTGAACTTAAATGAGGGTTTTGGAGGAACACAGTGCATCCCACTAGGAAGACCATATCAACATGCATTTCTTCTTCCTCCACATCACCAGGTCTGGGAAACTTCAGCTTCCACTTCTTCACTCATGGCTTTTCTTCACATGTCCCAGGTACCACGTATGGACTAAAGGCCACGCACCCACAAACTTTGCCAAGTGGCGGACTGCCACCACGCCTTACCAGGTTGAGTGGGAGGCTGATTTTGAGCCATATGTTGTTGTGAGACGAGATTGCCCTGAGTACGATCGGAGATTTGTGGGCTTTGGCTGGAATAAAGTGGCTCACATCATGGAATTGGATGCACAGGTGAGAACAGAACACCCACCTGGTACTATGTGGGAAAGGAGAGAGATACAGATATTAGAGCTGAAAGAGAACCTTGGAGACACGAAGATTTAAAAGGACCTTCAGAGAAACAAGATATGTTCAGGAACTAAGAATGAGAATTTGAATATGATTTTCTAGGCTTTCAACCTCAAACCTTTGTTTCTCCTTCTCCCCTTGAATGAAAATTCAGTTCTAGACAATGTTAGTTTCCTATAATATATCATCTTACCCTCTCCTTCTAGTGAGGAAGATGGGCACAGGGTGACTAGTCGTGATTAGCCTCCAAATTGTTTAATTGTTTCACTGTAAGTGGCACAAAACATGCTACTAAAATGTAGCTAACTATTCTGCCCTTTAATTAAAACAGCAGGGATTTTTAGACTGTGTTCCATCTGAAAGTCTTCATTCATTCACACAATACTTAGCAAGCATCTACTTCAGAAGAAGTCTGCAGAATTTTAATAGGTGAAGCCAGAGTACTATACATTTTTGCAAAGGACCAGATGGTAAGTATGTGGAGTTTTGTGAGACCTATAAGTCTCCCTTGTACCTGCTCTGTTCTTCCACTATTGGTCCTCCATTAGGTGGCCTCTAAACAAATATATGTGGCTGGATTTCAGCCCAGCCTCATTTATACAACCATGCTGCAAACCAGACAGGCTGTAGTTTGTCAACTCCTTTCCTATGATAAGATACATGTTCCATTGAGTCTAAGACATGTCAGGTGAGTTAGAACTACTGATGTATGTAGGAGGTTATGGAATCGTGTCCATGTTGAGCAAAACAAAGCATGAAGTCCATCCATTGGTACCCATGCCATGACCAGCATACCTGCTTACATACCATGAGTCCTGACCTCCCTTTGCTGCTCCCACAAAGAACAGTGATATTTCTGGGCCCAACAATGTTGTTGTATGGTGACTATCCAAAGAAAAGCTCATTTTTCCCATCACCAAGGCCTACCCTTTACTTTAGACTCTTTCATAGAGCTTTCACAAATGAACCATATGCTTTTCTGAATTTGCCTGTGGCACTCATCAGTCACAACTTTACCCATTCCAGTGAGGCACTCATAACTGACAGGTCACAAAGTCCCAGCTGTAGGGGCTGGGGTTGGGGGATATAACCCACGTTGTCCCTTTGTGAAATGACCCCAGACAACTGGGCCCTATGGTCTTATGTGTTCTCCTGATTTTTCTCACTTCCTCAGCTGCCATTCTCTGCCTGTCACATATGCCTTTTCTGTCCTTGATTTGCCTTGCTGAGTTTATTCTTGTCTGCACAGGTCTGAGAAGTAAATGACAAGAATCTAAAACTGGAGCAAACTGCATGTGTTGGGATCTGAGTTACATGTCATAAATTTGTGTCCACTGATTTGGCTGTTCAGAGGTGTTGTGTCTCCTGCCATAGTCAAGCATATTCTATGATACCACCACTTACAAGAAGTTGGGGAAATTTTTATCCCTGTTAAGCTTCAATACAGCTAAACATTTTGGGTTTATTTGGGTTATTTGGATATTTATTTATTTATTTATTTATTTATTTATTTATTTATTTATTTACCTATTTTTAAGACAGGATCTCACACTGGCTTAGACTGGTCTGGAATTTGCTGTGTAGCCCAGGTTGACCTGCAATCCATGGCAGTCTTTCTCATGTAGGCTTTCCAAGTGCTGGGTTACAATCAGGTGCCACTACTTTGAGCTTAAACAGTTGCTTTTGCATTTTTATCTTTTATTCTAATTTTCTCCCTCTTGTACCTATCTGAGGATACTGTCAATATTCATCCAGTTCTATGAAAAATCACATAAACAAATGTCAAATCATTAGCCAAGAGAGTATTATGTGGGAACAGCATTTCAGAGTGACCATGGGGCATATAGAGAGCTTCTGAGTTGGGCATGTGTTCTGCTTTCTTCTTTCATAAAGTATGAGTTTCAGTCTCATGATCATCCTTCAAGATAGAGTTTCTCACTCTCACTTTATGAATGAGCAAACCAAAGTTCAGTTTACTCTGATATTTTTTATGAAGCAAGTTATTCTGGAGCTGTTATGCCCCTCCTAGTGTTATTCTGTTGGCTCTTGATTCAGAGTCATACATGACCCAAGGCTCTTTCAAAATAAGTCATTACTCTTGTCTTTCTTCTTCCAGGAGTATGAGTTCACCGTGTTGCCCAATGCCTACATGATCCACATGCCCCATGCCCCCAGTTTTGACATCACTAAGTTCCGTTCTAACAAGCAATATCGCATCTGTCTCAAAACCCTGAAGGAAGAGTTTCAACAGGACATGTCCCGGCGCTATGGCTTTGCTGCTTTGAAGTATCTCACGGCTGAGAACAATAGCTAGCATTATGAAGGCTACCACGAGGGAGAGACGTGCCACAAAGGAAGAGCCACTTGCTGCCTAGGCCCAGACTTTGAAGACAAAATCCATCACTGATTTTGTTTGGTTTGTTTCCCTTTGTCTCTTTGGCCCCACAAAGCTGCTCTCTTCTGAGATCTTGGACAGGGACCCAGGCCACCATGAGGTACTTCCAGAATGGGACACAGAAGGGTGAAAGCAAATGAAGAGTTAACAACGTATCACAAAGGCACAGACCAAGTCAGAGTTTCTGGAATCTCCCATTGCTTTTTAACAATTATGGGTCAAACTTTAGCTGTGGAGAAAGAAGTTGCCATGCTTTGGGTTAGTCATTCCAGGAAATAAGAGCAAGATATTTCCTCCTAAGAATATCCCTGCCACCTAACTGGCACCCAAGCGGAAGACAGGCCAAGGACCCAAACAACCATCTGGATACCCACATGGGGACATTATATATGCAGGGACCTGGAGGTGGAATGAATTGATTCTTTATTATGAAAGTCACTCTTGTTTTGTTTTGGGTTGTTTGAATTTAGGAGATTTTTTATTTTGATCTAGGAATCCAAGTTAAAACAAAAATCTAATTCTTAAAGCTCCAAAAGAAAAATCAGCTCCCTCAACCAACACCCCTCTCAGTCAGCAGTGGCCCAGCGACAAGCGTCCTCAGAGAATGTTCGCACATGGGCAGCTTTCTTCAGGATGAACACTGAGGCCACCTGATGCTGAGGTTCCACTCCAGATCCAGGGCTATGCCAGGGACAACAGAAATATGAGGCCAAACACTATATGCAAGTCACATTTTCTATGGACAGTGACCAAGTCACAAGGAAAGGGCTTCAAGGAACTTCTTCAGCACTCACAGAAGGTACGATTCCCTGCTCAGGCCTTTAGAAGAACTTGAATGGTTCACAGGAGTCCACTCCGAACACTCTTATAACCACATGGAAACCACTGGCAGAAATGGGTCAGGTGTCTGTGTGTTTCTCCCTGCCTCACTGTTGGAAGTGGGAGACTGGTGAGCTTAGTTTCCCCTCAGGACCTCTCCTAGGCTTGGCAACCACCTCTTCATTGTGCAGACGGAAGAAACACTGGACTTTTTACCCATTTTCTTTATTCTTCACTATTAATGTTGTGTTTACATGGATGAGAACAAGAGTTAATGGCCTGCACTCTGCTGGGCTGTTTGTATTGAGTTGCCATGTGACCAGCGAAAGCTGCATTCAATAAATGAAAGTACAGACTCTTTCTTCCTACTCTCCCTCCAACCCTTGTCAGAAGCCACATGACACACTTGGTCTAGAGGGCAAAGTCAGATTCATGTACAGCACCTCACACTCTGTTCTTCCATCTCATCTTTCTCATTATTTGAATGTCACCTTTTTTTCCCCTTGCTGTTTAAGGTTAGATCTCACTTTCTCCTTAACCCTCAACTCATTTTCAACTTTTTTGTTTTGCATCTATCTCACCTCTGTAGCCAGATGCTGTATATTTTAAGTATGCAAATTGTGGCAAACAGTATCATTTGGTTAACTAGCCTCTCCTTAAGGGCTTTCTTGTCCTGTGGAGCCCCACAACACTCCAATCAATGAGAGCACTACATGTGGTGTGTTCAGTGGTGTTCCCCTAGATTAGGACAAAATGAGGAAAAATGTAATCAGATTTAGTTGTCATAGAGATACAGGTAAGTTTTTGTCTTCATTAGTTAATTCTCTCATTGAACAATAAAATATCTGACAGATATTTATATTGGTTCAGAGTTTGAGAATCCAGCTCATCATGGTAGGGAAGTCAGGGTAACAGGAACTTGAAACCACTGATCGCATTGTACCTGTAGTCAGGAAGCAGAAGGAGATAAGAGTCAGCACTCAGCTTGATGCTCCTTTTCTTCAGTCAGGGACTCCATCCAGTTGGGTGGTGCTACCCACTCTTAGCTGGGACTTCTCACTTCAGTTAACCTAATCCGTAATCTCTCAGACATGTCTAGACATTTATCTTTATCTTCCTTGTTAATTCTAGATCCTGTCAAGTTGACAATATTGACTATCACACTATACATAATATATATCATATTATATATATATATAACATATAATACATATATAAAGGAAGCATATACATGTATAGCATATATGCAGAATTTATTATTATAAAAGTAATGCATGAACATAATCCATGAACACCACTACAAGAAAACATGACAAAAATCTGTTCAAAATCATATTAAGTTCATTATTTTAGTAATGATGCTTGCAGCCAAATGCTCACAGAATGAATTTTCTGTCCATCTTTATGCAGATACCATGTTCAGTGACCTCCTCTGAGCCTCATGATCGACTAAATGTCTACCTTTACCACTCATTGCTTTCCCTGTTCCTTCACATATATGCATGTGTACACACACCTGAAGGCGCACATATGTTCTGCTGCTTTCTGCCAGATTAGCATTTCCTAGTAGATTGGTTTGAGCTACTCATTTCCAGCACCTTGAGTCAATCTCAACATTTGTTGATAGCACTAGTTCCCCAGTTAAACATCAAATTTTAATTCCCTAAAGCTTGTCATTAAACACTTAAACTTGTTTTCATTTGCATGTTTATAGAAATAGCCAATGACTATATAATTTGCTAGTTAAGCAGGGTCACTCATGAGAATGAAAGAAGATGCTAATTACTTTGATGAAACTGCATGTACATAGAATCGATTAAACCCAGAAGCTGACACTCCATACCAGCGTGAGAAACATCCTGTTACCTCAAATATGACTACCTGATATGGTCATTTAGTCCCATTTAAAATTAGTCTAGATGGAAAAAACCCAAAAGGCTCACCAGCTCAACTGACAGCCCAGAGGAAAAGGCCAAAAAAACACAAGGCTGAAGGCTTGCTAGTTCAAAGCCCAAAAGGCCGGGTAGCTAAGAAGCTGAAGCTAAAGCCAGAGCTTAAGGTAAAAGTTCTTCTCTACTTCTCTACACTGTCTTACAACCCCTCAACTCAAAGTCCCTTCTATTTTTTAATTCCTGTCAGCTAGTTTCTTGCTCTGCCTCTTGGTCGAGGGTTAACTTTATTAAATCCTGTGTACAAAAAGCTCTTGGATTAAAGGTATGTGCTAGGGCTGGGTGAACAACACCATAGTCACCTGTTTACAATAAGAAGTTATTGGATTAAAGGTGTGTGATAGGGATCAACCTTACCAAACGAGAAACAGGGTTTTACAGTTTACTATTTTGGGGTTCACAATGGGATCGAATATCCTGCAACAGACATGGGAGAAAATTGGAGTGAAATACTTGTGCTGAGTCCTCTTATTCAAGATTCATAATAAAGCAGATCTTAGAGGATCAGAGTCCAGGATGAAGGAGTAAAACTGAAAAATTAAAAATAAAAAAGAACTCTCCATAGCATTAAGAATTAAGTACTCTTTTCAGATATGTCTGGAGTCATTAATTGGGGAAGTGGGAGGCTGCAGAAGGCCACAGGCAACTTTCATCAATTTTCAGATATTGCCACATGTGTTGCTGTGTGTGTGTGTGTATGTGTGTGTGTGTGTTATTGTGTTCAATGTCAGTCTTTTCTCCAGTGTCTGTGCTTCTCACTTCCCAGTGTTTGGGGAGAGTATTTCTTTAATGGGTTGGAAGTATCCTGAACTCTCAAAGAGTTACCAAAACATTGGCTTACCTCCTAACTAGACTTTGGACTTATGTGACATGTGGTCTTTACTATGGAGAAGGGAACAACTGCCTACATATTCCTGACACGGCACTGATCACAGACAAATGTAATGATTCCATCAAATATAGCAATAAGTGACTTGCTCTAAAATACACAGTAAAATAGGTGAAACAGGACATCATGCACTCAAGGAGTAACAGAAAGAAAAAAAAAGAAAAAGAATCAGAGACTACTAAATGAAGATCAGAAGGTCAAGGTCATACCTGCATACAAAGCAAATTTTAAGGCTGGGCTAAATGAGACCCTGTCCAAAATACACATAACGCACATGTGCATGTATGAACGAATGCATGCACAAATGCACACACAATTTTCTGTGTCTATCCTGTCCAACTGTCCCGAGTGTGTCATCTGCAAGGGAAAGAACCTTTTCTTTTCAGAACCCAAGGGTCAGGGGAGGCACTGGAGAGAAACTTAGAGCATCAGGCACAATGGTCCAGGGAGCTGAGAACAGAGACAAGCACTTGGGCCCACTACTCAGCCAAGGCTTGGTAAGGCAAGACACGGGTATGATAGAACTCTTCAAATCTGATTGATGTTGGGCAATCATAGAGGCATCTCTTAACATAGGAAGAGGTCACATCACCTTGGGCAGATACATTCATCACATGACTTGAGTTCACATTATTCTGGATACTGGCTACACAGGAGCTTAAGTAAGTGTTGGGGGGTGAGTTGTGTTGCCCTCCCCCCCCGATTCATATTGAAATTTTGGGTTCCAGAGCTGAGGATGTAGTTCAGGAGATAGAGGGTTATCTAGGAAGCATGGAGGTCTGGGTTCATTCCCTGGTACCATATAAAGCAGGTATGGTATGAGCCAAACGCTGGGGAGGCAAAGGCAGGAAGATCAGGAAGTCAAGATAAAGTCATTCCTGCCTACAGAATAAATGTTAAGGCTGGGCTAAATAAGACCCTGTCTAAAACACACAAATGTATATGCACAAATGCACACTCCTTGCACGCACAATTCTGTGTGTCTATCCTACTATCTTACTATCCTGAATGTCATCTGCAAGGAAAGGAAACTTTTCTCTTCAGAACCCAAAGATCAGGAGAGGCACTAGAGAGAAACTTAGAGCATCAGGCACAAATGGTTCAGGGAGATGAGAGCAGAGACAATCACTCAGGCCCAGCACTTAGCCAAGGCTTGAGAAAAGGACACAGGGACAGCAGAATTCTGCAAAGCTGATTGATGAGTTAAGTAGGGAAGAGCACAGAGCAATACTGCCGGACTTAATACAGAAGAGCACAGAGAACTGAGCTCAGTGGAAACGAGCACAGAGCAGTGTTTCCTGGATAAGTAGAGAAGAGCACACAGCAGTGTTACTGAGTTAAGTAGAGAAGAGCACAGAGCAGTACTGCCAGACTTAATAGAGAAGAGCACAGAGAACTGAGCTACGTGGAAATGAGCACAGAGCAGTGTTTCCTGGATAAGTAGAGAAGAGCACAGAGCAGTGTTACTGAGTTCAATGGAGAAGAGCACAGAGCAGTGTTACTGAGTTCAATGGAGAAGAGAACAGAGCAGTGTTGCCGTGCTAAGTATAGATAAGCACACAAAGCAGTGTTACCGGGCTAAGTAGAGAAAAGCACAGAGCAGTGTTACCTGGCTAAGTAAAGATGAGCACAGAGTTATGCTACTGGCAATCATAGAGGCATCTCTTAACATAGAAAGAGGTCACATCACCTTCAGCAGACACTCACCTTTGTCAGGTGACAGAGCACTATTACCGAGCTAAGTAGAGAAGCGCTCAGAACAGTGTTTCTGAGCTAAGTAAAGCAGAGCACAGAGCAATGTAACCAAACTAAGTAGAGAGGAGCACAGAGCAGAGTCTCTAAGCTAAATAGAGAATATCACAGAGAAGTGTTTCCTGGCTAAGGAGAGAGGAGTACAGAGTCATCTTACCGAGCTTAGTAGAGAAGAGCACAGAGCAGTGTTACTAAGTATAGATGAGCACAGAGCAGTGTTTCTGGGCTAAGTCGAGAAGAGTGTTACCGAGCTTAGTAGAAAAGAGCACAGAGAAGTATTACAGGGCCTAGTAGAGAAGACCATAGAGTGGCATTGTCAAGCTATGTGTAGGGAAGCACAGAGCAGTGTTACTGGGCTAAGTAGAGAAGAACACAGAGCAGTGTTACCTAGTTAAGTAGAGAAGAGCACAAAGCAATGTGACTGGGCTTCGTAGAGAAGAGCACAGAGAAGTGTTTCCAACTTGAGTGGAAATGAGCACAGAGCAGTTTTCCAGTCTAAGTGGACATGAGCACAGAGACATCTTACCGAGTTTAGTAGAGGAGAGCACAGAGCAGTGTTTCCTGGCTAAGTAGAGAAATGTGCAGAGCAGTGTTTCCTGGATAAGTAGAGAAAATCCCAGAGCAGTGTTTCCAGGGTTAACCAAAGAAGAGCATAGAGCAGTGATACTGAGCTAAGTAGAGAAGAGCACAGACAAGTGTTATAGTGCTAAGTAGAGAACAGCATAGAGCAATGTTTCTTGACTAAGCAGAGAAGAGCACAGAGCAGTGTTTCCAGGGTT